GCCCGCGCCGCCGGCCCCCGCCGCCTCCCATTGGCCGCCGCGCTGCACCATTGTTACGTCACCGGCGGCGGGCGGGGCGCCGAGCGCGCTGCGGAAAAGTTGGGAGAGAGAAACTTGCGGGCGCGCGGGGGCGGGGCGGGGGCGGGGCCGCCGGGTGATGCGCGCGCACGTCCCCGATTCCCGGGGCGCGTGACTTTCTCATCCTACCCCTTGGGGTGCCCTCCCCCCCTCTGTCCTTTACTCCCTATTCCCCTTATTTTGATCCCATGACTTCAGGGGAAGATCTCCGCAGAGCTGATTCCACCATCGACACCCGTTGGTACAAACAATCGACACCCTTGGTACCTGCAGTCAGCAGATCACATGTATTATTGCACTGGAAAAGTCTGCAGTCAAGGACCACTCCAGATTACTGAGAATCAGTAATGTCACTTTGAAGATGTAGGCCATGGGCATCTGGGAGCTGGACAGGGAATAAGGATGACAGAAGGAGAATTGAGGCCTTTGAGCTGTGGTGTTGGAGAAGGGCACTTAATGTCCCACAGACTGCCAAGAGAACGAACAGAGGTGTCTTGGAGAGGGTGCATCCAGTGTTCCCTGGAAGATGACAAAGCTTTGTCACATACTTTGGGCATGTTGCGAGGAGAGATTATTCCTGGGAGGGGGACATCATGTTGGAAAAGTAGAGAAGGGATGGTGAAGGAGAAGGAGACTCAATCAGGTGGATTAACAGCATTGAGGGCAGCAGTGGGCTTCAGTGTGTTGGAGATTGTGAGACTGGCACAGGCTGGCAGAAGCTCAGATCTATTACTCATAGGGTTGCTGTGAATCACACCTGACTCGATGGGACCTAGCTACAACAAATAAGGTTTCTGTGAGTTAGAGTCGACTCCATAGCACCCAGCACCTCACTCCAGAGGTCAGGAGTTTGGGGATCATGTTACAGGGCACAGTATTTAGTCCCAGAAGGCAGTGGTGTCTTGGCTTCTCCCACTAGACCCCATGGCTTCTGGGATAGAGCTACTCACACTGTGCAGTGCTCCCCCTGACTCTCAGCCAAGGCAAAGAGAAATAAACCAAACTATTTTTCAAATCTGATTTAACTTATGGCAACAGGTTTCAATGCTGTAAATCTTTACACAAGGAAGCTGCTTATCTGCTTCCGGTGGAGGGATTGCTGGATTCAAACTGCTGATCTTGTAACATGGCTACACCACACCCAAAGACAGCAGCCTCCCAGCCTTCCTGCCTCCACAGAGCCCCCCTCACTTACCCTGCCCCAGCTCCCCCATGGCCCTCTAATCAGAACAGGTGCTGCTGGTCCTGCCTGTACCTCATCCTCTCCTGGCCTGTCTGAGGGAGGCGGGACAGGCCCCAGCTCCCTGCTGAGTGTTCAGCAACTCTCATGCAGGCACTAGCATATGTATGTGTGTGTGTGTGTGTGTGTGTGTGTGTGTGTACACCTGTGCCCAGATAGGGGATGGGGGGTGGGGGTGCCAGGCACCTCCACTACGCAGATGAGGCCTCGAGAGGGGCCGGGGCACATCAGGCCCTGTGCTGTTGTTCCTCTGTACTCTTGTTACCTGAAAACCACAGTTCTGCTGTCCACCGCTAGGAAAGCCAGTCTGAGACAGGCTGGAGAGGAAGGAGGCCGAGGTTTACTATAGACCAGTATATGAGGGCTCTGGTGGCATGTCCCTGAGGGCACTGCACTGGTAATTCAAAGGTCAAGTTGCTCTGGTCAGAATCCTCCAGACTCCTTGGGGAAAAGATGGGCAATTTCCTCCCATGAAATTTACAGCTTAGGAGACACAATGGAGGGTCAGCTATGAGTTGATTCCAATTCCATGGCAATGGGAGAGAGAGAGAGGAGATAAGGAATATGTGCCCCAAATCTGTCCCCCTGCCTTGAAGATCTTGGGGACCTATATGGTGGAGACAGGACCGTATGAGAACTTTACTTAGGTGCCCAAGTTGGTGATTGTGACCAGGACTGATTCGCCCAGTCTTGTTAGGGCTCCAGAGAGAGTGTGGCACTACGTGTTATGACCGAAAGGGAGCAATGTCAGCTGTAGATTGCAGGGTACACAGGCCGATGTGATCTAATTCGCGGAGCAGCTCTCAGCTCTAGGCTGCTGAGCCGACAGGGAAGCGCTGTCTAAGGATTCCATGTGTGAAGATCTTCTCTCTTACTTTCCTAAGCTGGGGGAAAACATCTTCCTTTTAAAGTGTTGCAGAATGTTCCTTTTACATTAGGGTAGTGTCCATTCCATTTTTACAGTTCTTTTCATTAGTTTAGAGCTCTGGTGACTCTTGCACTGCAATCCCAAAGGCACACAGTTCAAATCCACCAGCTGCTCCATGAAATAAGGATGGGCAGCCTCCTCTTGTGTGAGGCGAGAAAACTCGCTGGAGGGTCAGCTGTGGGTCATTTCTGACTTGACAGCACACAATATCCATAAGTTGCAAGAGAGAGTCCTTTTGCTGAAGATTATAAAGTGTCCGTTTCAAACTATTAGAAGGGTATTTTAGAAAGGTTGGTTCACCATTGTCTTGTTGTGAGTTACACCCTGGCCCGTTGGGACACCACCCCCCTTGGTACAGCAAGAATATCAAAGGCCATACCCTCTCTCAAGGAGGTCCGTGGTCTATGCTATTTATGGGGTCACAATCTGAATCAAATCTGCACAAATGGACAGAAGCTAGGGGTGGGTGCTGAGAGGAAGGAAATGCAGACCACCTCTCCCCTACCCAGACTTCAACAAGTGTTCCTGCTCCAGGCATCAGGCTCCCTGCAGTTCCTGCCAGCTTCCCATTTGGAACCGCCATAGTGGAGGAAGGGGCATGAATACAGGTCCTGGGGTCGACATTAGACCTCCAGACCTCCTTAGACCCTGGAAACATCTAGAGAGGTGGCAATGAGCTGCCCAAGATCTGGCTGCTCCCTGCCCCCAAGCCCACTCCCCACTTTTGGCATGATGACATCACACCCTTCTCCATGGCCCCTGCAGAGGGCAGAGCATCAGATTCCTGGGAGGCACTGCACCCCCCACCCCTCGATGCTCTGTCTGCTTGCTCCCAGCCTGCCCGCCTCCCTGGGGCCCAGCGGGCTTATTGTCCTGCACAGGGCATGGTTGTATGTG